CCTCGGGTCGCAACGCCCCGCTCGCCGGAGGCTCGTCGCAGCAGGGCGGCGGCGGCGGCGCGGGCGGCGCCGACGAGGAGGTGCCCGACCTCAGCGTGCTCAACGACGTGGCCCAGTGGCTGCGCCACCTGCGCCTGCACAAGTATACCCCCAACTTTGAGAAGTCGTCGTGGCGCGAGATGGTCGTCATGAGCGACAAGGACCTCGAGGACAAAGGCGTCGCCGCGCTCGGCGCGCGCCGCAAGATGCTCAAGACGTTTGAGGCCACCAGGCAAAAGTACGGCATCACCATGCCCGGCGAGGATGCCAGCGGCGGCGACGACAACAAGGCCGCCGCCGAGGGCGCCGCCGAGACCAAAAACGACGACGGCGCCGCCGCAGCGGCCGAGTCGGGCGAGGCCCAGCAGAAAAAGGACTGAGAGTCTGTCGTCCGCGCGAGTCGACGCTGTCGTCATTCTTGCGCTGGACCGAGACGCACCCTCGTCGCCGTCGTCGCCGTCACCGCCTGCACCGCCTGCACCAGCCACGTCGGTCCCGGACGGCCTTGCTCTCCGAGTCCGTAGCCGCCAACGCCCGCTGCTCGATGCTCGGGGCACCGCAGCGCCGCTCTCCCGCGCGCAGCCACGTCCTCCCTCGTCCCACCGTCGCGGCAGTCGACGTCACCACGACCCGTCTCCTCCCTTCGTCCACGCCTCGTCCCCGTGTCTTATTCCGATACACGCCCGCCGCCCACCCGGCCCCGCCCCGCTCCGATCCGTACGCAAAAGCCCGTCTCGGCCGCATCCCGCGCACCCCTCTCTGTCTGTCTGTCTAGTCTGTTGTAGTCGGCCCGCGTCTCTATTGCCTAGCTAGCGAAACACGGTCATACATGTTTAGCGTCCAATCCGAGCTGCGGCAGCACGGCGTGTGCCTGCGAGCCTCGAGAGTCGGGCAAGCTGGCTCGGAAGTCGAAGAAGCAAAGGGTACAAGAGCCTCCCTCGCTGGCAGGCTGCCAGGCAGGCATATGTCCTGCCTGGTGAGAAGATGTCCTCTCTGACGCTCTCTGCGTCAGTCACACTGACTCCGTTTGCCTATGGGGCGGGCCAAGCAAAAGAAGGAAGCAGGTCCAAACAAGCAGATAAAGATGGCAAAAATACAAAGGGAATTGTATCAACCCAGAATCGGACCCTAGCCCTCACGACGGCAATCAGACACATCTTGACGGGGGAGAAGGGGGCAAGAACCACCCAGGTTAAATGCGGGCAGATCATGACAGGGGCTGTTGTTACCTCATCAACCATGTTGGCACTGACCTGGCTCCAACCCTAACCCTAGCCCTAACCCTTAGGGTTAGGGTTCCATCTACGAGGCAAAATGTGGATTGGGACGCGTCGGCCGTCTGGTGGACCCTGGCTGGACCCTGACGGGCGGGCCAGCCGGCTGGGAAGCTGGACGGCTACAAAATCCGAAAAATCACGAATACAAAATTAGACTTTTAGCCGAGCTACTGGACCCTGACGATACAAATTGCAGCGCAGGCGACTACGGCCAGGAAGATGGTCCCATTTTCAGGAAGATGGACGAACTCAACCAGGATGATGGTCCCATTTTCAGGAAGATGGACGAACTCAACCAGGATGATGGACCCGTACAAGCCAGAATGATGGACCCATACAGCCAGGAAGATGGACTCATACAGCAAAAGAATATAGAAGATGGACGGCCACAATCAGGAAGATGGACGAACACAACAAAGAAGATTGATGACTACAATCGGGAAGATGGTCGACCACAAACAGGTACAACGCGCTGCCACAGCGAGGAAGATGGCCGACTTCGGTCGCAACAATGGATGACTACAGCCTGGAAGATGGGCGACCACAAAATGCCCAACACGGCTCTCCAAATTGGGCATCAGAGCACGTGCGCTTAACCTGTCAGCAGTGACCGTGTCGGGACAACACACCTCACCCGATCGTCCATTTCGCATCGGGTTTGCCCCCCACACTTCTTTTCGGGACCCGGCCATGCAAAAAATGGACGCCGCGTCTCAACCAAACACCATCACGCTCCTCAGCATCGTCCCACCTTTCCCTCCTGGCGTCCCTCGTGAATAAATGCCCTTTCCCGTCGGAAAGGATCGGAAAGATCGGAAGGATCGGAAGCATCCTCCGATCCCCCCGCCCACCCATCATATATAATCCAACTTGCCTCGGTCACAATTGGGAAGAACGCTCCTAGCAACCCACCCCTGTCTGTCCCAACCGTCGAAAGACATGGTCTCAATCCGCCACAAAACATCAGTATGAAACTACTAAGGAAAACGATCGGACAGGGTCGGAAGATCTTTCCGAACAAATTGTCATAGATTTGCAAGAGCACGCTGATGTTGTACCATGCTTCAGTAGCCTTGATTCTTGCGCTTGACCACTTGTCAAACTGGCAGCCAGGAAGAGTGGACGTTGATGGGAAGCAAGTCGCTATCTCGGCATGGACCTCGGCAAGATTGACGGCGCTCTTCTGGGCAGAAAAAGTTGGATTTGGTGCCGTCAACCTGGCAGCCAGAAGATCGGAAGCCGGCCCCAGAGACGGTGGGCAAAATTGACGGCGCTGTTTTGGGCAGGAAAAGTTGGATTTGGCGCCGTCAACCTGGCAGCCAGAAGATCGGAAGCCGGCCCCAGAGACGGTGGGCAAAATTGACGGCGCTGTTTTGGGCAGGAAATGTTGGATTTGGCGCCGTCAGCCAGGCGGCTAGAAGATCGGAAGTTGGCACCACCAGAAAAGCTGGCCCGGCCGAAAGAAAGGGCCTGATTGACGGTCCTCCTTCAACGTCAAGCCCCATTAGTCTGGCGGCCTTAAGGATCAGAAGTTTGCGCTGGGAAGACTTGTCTGACAAGGCAACAAGTCCGAAAGAGGCTTTTGGGCTGAATTGTTTGGCCAGGGTCGGAAGATTTCTCCGATCGGCGCCGACCCTTGCAAAATGGACTGCGGTGATCTAGGCTGCCTTGGTACAGGAAGCAAAAGGGAGAGCGGCGCTGCCTGCTTCCCTTCCGGGGGCCTCTTTCACGCTTTGCAAATGCGCACACGATGACTCGTGCGAGTGTCCCCCTGGGAGTCGTAACCATACTAATTGGCGATCCGCGCTACAGGATTCGAACCTACGCGGTCTCACGCGTCTCAGCGCAAGGGACCCTACTCCCGCCACAAAGGCAGGCTATCAATAACCTTGACGAGCCACCGCTGCGCCAAAAGCGTCACTAGGAGGCTAGGTCAGTGCATCAGTGCGTACATAAAGGAATTGTTTGCCGCAAACCTCGGGAGTCGGCCACGGAGTAAAGACCCATAAAAAGTCAAAAACAGCGCCATCAATCCCTTGCAACGGGTCAGTTGGCACCAACATTGACGGCGCTCCTTTGGCCAAAAAAGGTCCAGACCAACGCCGTCATGTTGGCAGGCAGACCATGTGACGGTCAGTGCAAAACCTGACGGCGCTCTTTTTGCAGGAAATGGCCCAGACCAGCGCCGTCATTTTGGCAGGCAGACAGCACAACGATCAGTCCAAAACCTGACGGCGCTCTTTTCGCGGGAAATGGCTGTAAACAGCGCCGTCAAAGTTGGAGGCACCCAGTCAATCCTCCCTGAACGGCACCCCAGTGACTTTTGGCAGGGCATGGAGGCAGGGCGGCGGGGGGGGGGCCTCCTGGTCGGATGACTTCTCCGATCTTTCCGATCCTGTCCGATCAAAACACCCCGCTCCCATGCCTAGTACCGCCTCTGACGACTTGCCAGGAGAATGGCCACCACTCCGTGCCCTGTCTGCGGTTTTGCCATTGCAGTAAGCAACATCGTTACACGCATTCGAAAGCG